GACCAACGGAAATCAATAGTGAAGTAATGTACTGTTTGGTATAAGTAATGGTGGAAGAATGCGGTCTGTTGAGATTATGTGATTTCTCTCCTTAGTTCAAAGAAGATACGTACCAACTTCTCATTGCCTAATTATTGTTCAAAACAAAAAAGCTAGTGAACTTTTTTTTAACCATGTCATGTATGTGTGTTATTTTCATTTGCAACATATTTGAGGTGTCTTTTAGAAGTGATTTATTTTTGTCTACAGGCAGCTGGTACCTCTACCACAGGGCTGACTGATGGCAATTAACACCTCTTGGCCCACTGCAGACAATTTCCCACCTATTGCTTTTTAAGGTGCTAAAACTAATCTCTACTAGCTTTCATTGACAGAAGGATCATTAAAGGGTTTTCTCTCCCCTCATTTTGCAACAATACCTAACACAAATGAATGGCCAAAAAGTGTCTTGACAGGATTCTGTTAGGTAGATTTCTTAGGGGATGATTGACAAAATGAGGTATAAGGTTTTCTTTAACACAGAGGTATATCTGTAGACAGAAATAGGCTTTGGCAAAGTGATTAACAAAATAAATAGGAACGATAAAAAATTACCTTAGGAAGAAAGGCTGCAGATTTCATTACCCATATCTATTACATTTTTGGAAAATCAACCACGTTATACATAATGCTATTCAATTGTCTTATGATGCTGCATTAATAACATTCATTTTACAATGTCATTTTCCCTATGTGTACACAAATAAATGCAAAAATGTGGACCTCAATAGTTTAGTGTCGGTACATTAAGAAGCATATGATTAAAGTTGGTTGCAGCATGCAAGTACAGTGTTTAGGCTCATCCCAAATTATTAATAAGCTTAAAACCAATTTCTTATGGAGAACAGAAAATTTTCAAATTTTTGTGAAAAAATATAACATATACAAACACACAAATAAAACGACATAATAGAGCTAGTTGCAGTGTTTCCAGCAGAAGGATTTTTGATAGAAAAATGCATTTTTTTTCTGCATGAAAAAATCTTGAATTAGCAAAAAAAAATAAATCTTACTAGTGGAAAATTGAACTGAAATATTTAATTGTGAATTGGTCTGATGCAAATTGGATTTTTTTCCTGTTCAGCTGATCCATGAAACATTAAACATCCTTTTTCTATCAGCCTACTGCACTAAAATAATTTTATTTCAGGACTTCATTCACTTTGATTCAGCTGCTTTGAGGACTATCAGGTCTTATAGGCCAGGGGTCAGCAACTATTGGGGCTGAAGGGCCACTTAGGGAGTTTTGGTGAGCTGTTGAGGGCTGGGTCAGCACCCTTCCTCCCCCTGCTCTCTGGCTCACAACAGCTCACCAAAACTCCCTCCTGGGGCCCAGCCCCGCACTGTCACCACTCAGTGATCCCAGCTTTCAGCTCTATAGAGACTGGCCTAGGACCCTAGCAGGCAGAGCACACTTGGCCGGGTGAATGGGATGGAGCTGCATGAGGGGGTGGGGAGCAGTATCTGGGAGCAGGACAGGGGGCAAGGCTGGGATTGGTACTGGGGTCATGGGGCAGTGACAGCCTGGGCCTGAGGCAGAGCTGCGATCCACTCCTGGCACACCCCTCCCCGTGGAAGCGGTGCCCGTTGCAGGGATATGCAGGCAGCAGATCAATGGCTCTGCCCCAGGCCTTGGCCCCGCAGTGTCACTGCCCTGAGTTCCCGGCCCCACCTGCCTGTCCCACTCCTGGATTTTGTTCCCCACCCACCCATGGCCACATCCCATGTACCAGGCTGAGCACACCTTGCCTGCAAAGGTCCTGGGTTGTTCTCCATGGAGCTCCTGCCTATGCGCTCCATCTGGTGCCCCCGGCAGTGGGTGCAGGGAGGATCGGCCAGGGTGCCTGGACAGTGGGACCAGGTCTAGCAGCAGCAGCCACACTGGCAGCACCAGCTGGAAGGAGCCACCACTGTCAGGGCTGCCGGGAAGTGGAGTCTGGCTGCCACACCACCCCAACCCTGCTGTACACCTGGCAGAAACAGCCACACAAACCACAATCCAGGCTGCCCCCTGTGCCTGGACTGGACCGGTCTAAGGACCCATCTCAGGCTAGTTAAAATCCCTTGGTCACCTGGATCCAGCCCATGGGCTGTATACTCCCACCCCTGTCTTAGGCAATGTTCATTTTCTTATTTGAATTATACACTGCTAAATAGATGAGACTGAACCTAAATCTTGTAGTCCAATTTACTGGACTGGGACTTGCAAGGCACTGGCTTCCACCCTATCATGACTACAATCTTGCAGCATAACCTTTTTGTTCCTCAGTCCCTCATCTGCAAAATAAGGATAAATATATTTCCTTTCTCCCAGTCTTGTCTGTTATGTCTGTTTAGACAGTAAATCCCTTAATCCATGGGCAGGTATTACATTTATAATGCTAATACGCCCTTGAAGTGTTACAAAAAGCAAGCATAGAGCCACTCAAGCTGTTTGTAGCACTACAAAGATAGGAAAAGCATTACAAAATACTGCCTCTTCCAGAGAGGAACTTCTTGGTTTTGAAGCACTGCATTTTAACACCTGTACAGTTACATGCCTGTAGAGTTATAGGTGAGAGGGAGAGTGATTGTCTTTCTGATATACTCCCACAGATGAACTTCCAGGGAGCCTTGCTGGGACCTTGCAGCTACTGTGGCCAACACATCAAGAGTCCCAACTCTTTCCAGGGCTTTTAAAGTGGTGGTAGCAATTCCCGCAGGGATGGCTGTCAAGTCCCTGGTGTCTCGCTCTGCACCTGCCTGGCTCCACCAATCAGCTGCAGCTCTGCTGGCTGCAGGGTCCTCACAGTGCCGGTTCTACCATATGTCCTGACATAGGATAACATTTTCAAAAGCACCTAAGAGATCTAGGAACTCAAAGCTGGCTAAAAGCTTTGTGAGATGGACACCTAAGTGCCACACTGAAATGCAACTTACAGGCTATAACTTGGTTTTGTGTGATAACAGACATGGTCTGTGCTTGTACTTTCTACCAAGAACTCTTCAGAAAGATGCTAATATAGGCTGTGTGGATGGAGGCTTGGCTGCTGCTTCTCTCCTATCCAAACTGAAACAAGAAGACTAAGAAAAGTTTTAGCAATTTCTTCTAGGGAGAGTGTCCACATTTCCAAAAGAGATCAACCTTCCTCAGCTTAGGGAAATATCAACAGATACCATTTGATAACACTTTGCATACATGTTAGATCTTCCCTGTACTGATTTTTGTACACTAATCTTTTGGTGGGGGTGAGATCCCCACATGCTTAGAACACTGGAATATTTCACAGTGTTGCTCCACATGAGCATCATAAGAAATGAAGGAAGGCCTTAAGTATTCCCAGAACAATTAAAGACTTAATGTAAAGGAAGGTTCCAAAATATTTGCGGTCACAGATGTATTTGAAACCCCAAAAGCCTGAGTGGACCATTAAGTTTACTAGCTCCTAATACATCTTTACATTTCTTTCCCCCAGAGAATGTTTCTCTCTCTGTTCTATTAGATGCTGACCATGGAGTGGGTGCAATTTTTGCTCCTTTGCTTTGTTTCAAATTGATGTGCTCTGTAAAGCTGAATAAATCAAATGATTAAAAAATGAGTGGATGAGAAATGCACTTCAGTGTAGTCTCTTCCCACACATAATCTAGGCATGGAATCTCAGAGATGGGAGGGACAGGTGAAAAAGAAAGGAAAAATGCGGTAGCAGAAACCTATACTCTGCAGAAAATATTAAATAAAGGGATAATTGGGGCATGGTGTTGAGTGCACATACATGCATTTCACACTTGAGCCCAAATTATTTATCAACACTCTACTCCATAATACTAAGGGGATGTATAGCTGCTCTGTCCAAGGAGAGTTCCTCTCTGTATATACTTGGTCTGGAGAATAAAAATGCGTTGCTGACCTTTTGTGGTAGATTACTAGTCCACTGTATTGGCCAGCAAGTGGGAGTCACAGAATTTGCTTTCTCCTGCATGCTTGGACCCTAAACCTCATTACATAGGATTTTAGGTGGACTTTTATTCCTAAGCACGGGCAAATAAATGGCTGCTTGTAGTTGTTAAAAAAAAAGTGGCGCTTTACTTGGAACTTGGCGTGCTCCTGTGCTGAGCCCAGTGCATGCCCAGAAGAGGCAGTGCCTTAGTTGGACCTTTCTTGCCCAACATCTGTATCGATCAGGCACTTTACTGGGGCTTTTTGGTGCTTTTATCTAATAGCTGATTGAATTAGCTTTACCTAAAGGTGCCAAAAAGTCCCACTGAAGCACTCAATCTATACAGATGCTGCAGAGTTGGGTTGAAGTAACACGCTACTTCTTCCAGTAAAGTGTATTGTGACCTAACTTGTATCAGGAGAGATCTGGGACAGAAGTTCAAGAGACTGGTCTAACTTAAAGTGATTCAACCTGCTACTACTTAAACTGAATTCTGCCATTTTGAAACCAGTCTATATGCAATGAACTTCTGTCCTGTTACAGGTTTAGAATGATTTCCGACCATTTATACAGATTTATGTGCAATTTATGTCCCTAGCCATAGTCACATCACAACATCACAAATTAAATCAGGGAGGAAGGAGTACTAAAAATGTTTATATGAAAATATTCAGGAAAAAGGACTACAAATTTTTCCTTTTGATTTATGCAACATGTCAATATTTGTGGTTTATTAATCTGTTTCTTCCTAATGAAGACTTACTTTTTCCTTTTATCTGATATGTAATGCTTTTAATGTCCTCTGGAAACAATGATTAGTTAATATAAACAAGATGGGAATATCACAAAGTATAATATTTCAACAGTGCCTAATTCACTGAGAAGCCTCAGTTTTACTGAGCAAAAACACTAAAACTGCAGCTCTTATGTACTTGAACAGTTCTGAAAATGGGAATTTGCTGTTTTGAAATGTTTTTATCTTAAATAGCTATTTTCTACATAACAGTTAATAGAAGCTACCCCACTTCAGAAAGCCACACTTACCTTGTCTGACAGCTAGTGTAGTTGTGTAGACCAAGAATAGGAGGATGTAATTGAGGAAGCTCTGAAAAACAGGAGTGTTGGCATGGAAATCTTCTGACAGATACTTGCTGGTCAGGCCAATACCACAGATAAGGAGAGATAGAACCTGGCCAAGAGCTACAGACAGCAGGAGCTCCCTAAAAGAAAGAAACAAACAAAAAATCAGACATAAAAATCTCAGCCTTTCTATCAATGAGGCAATGCTTAGCATCCAACAAGCATATTTGAAAGTGTGGAAAGTGTGAAAAATCAAATTTGGGATTTTAACATTCTTTTGGATCCACATTTTGTAAAAGTAATATTTGCAGTTTTCCTTCTTTTCCTGATCTCATTTCCATTTTGTTTTCTTAATTTTTCTTTCTCTCTCTAATCTATTTCATCTAGTTTCCCTTCTCTATTCTCTTCTTTTCAGATTTTTAAAAAAAGATTCTTCTTTCAAATGCTCTTTAGTCCAATAACATTTCTTACCTGATCTGTCCACTTACTGCAGTTTCCTCCCCCTATGAGCATTTCCTCCTCAACTTGACTTTCCTTCCTCCATGCTCCCTGTTTTTTATGCTCCCCAGATATTCCTTCCCTGTTTTCCCCATGGTCTTTGTCATCTTAGCCCCTCATATACGTTTAAGTGCAAGACTTATAAATAGTGGTTGTCCTGATAGTTTGCAGGGCTCCACTTACAGGTACTCGATTGACTTCACACATGACTGCTTGCTTGCCTTCCTTCACTTTTGACATATTCTAGATACCACCACCCACAAGCATCTCATGTCTATTATAAGACCATGTTGTATCTATTGTGGTACCTCAATTCTTTCTTTTCACTCTGTCATTCATGAAGGAAGGTACTATCTTAATATGGAGTGAATTAGTTTACAGCACCCTAATACCAGTGCACATGTAGACGGTGATGCTTTAATGCTGAGCTAATTAGTCTACTTGCAGTAAAGTGCATGCAGAGATGCCCCCTGGCCACATCTACATGATACACTGACTGTGCAGTCATTACTGTGCAGTCATTTAGTATTTGTATAAACAAGTACTAAATGACTGCACAGTAAGTAACCCGAGTTATTGTGCAGTGCTGTCGACAGATTTTCTGTGACACTGACTCTGTGGTAGCCCAAGACCATTGTGCAGTAGTGTTGCGTGATGGTTGCTGCCATGTGACGCTACTGCACAGTAGTCTTGGTCTACTATGGAGTCAACGTTGCATGTAGACATGGCCCCTGTGTTACTAAATCTCTTAAACCGCTTTTTTAACAAAGCAGCTTGTAACAGTTTGGGCTAGACTGTCCTACAAATTAACAGGAAGTTTTCTTTAGCTAGGGAAGCAGAAATTTAAATCATGTAGCCATCCTGTCCAGAATTATATCACACACTTGGAAAAACCATTGTCCAACCAAACTATTTTTAATTTCCTCCTTACTTGCATATTCTATCCCCAAAGTACAAATAATGAAACTACTGGGCATGGTGGGTCAAGGGAGAATTCCCAACATCTGTTAGCATCATAATTCTCACTTATCCTTCTTACTGGTGATTTTCCTTTTATTTTTTATCTTTATTTTTGTTTTGTTGTGTTTAGTTTGCTTTTGATTGGGATCATTGACTATTTTGAACACACTGGACTTGTTGGAATTGCGGAAACCTGGATAAAAGTATTGGAAAGATGATATAGTACAGGCATTATAGGGGCAAAACTTTGAGAACCACTGATCTAGTAGCTCCATTTCACATTTCTATGATTTTCTATTTAGATTATAAGCTTTTCAGTGTGGGGACTATATCTTCAACCTAGCACTGAACATTATGTCAACATTTATCTAACAAATGAATTACATTCACTGTAACTTAATAATTTTATTGGGAGGAGAGTAAATGTATTCAACATTTAGATTGCATAGACATGCAAATTATGGGCTATAGAAATGACATTGAAGGGTTACAGATACCTATTCTCTGGCCAGGATTTTCATATCCATTTCCTTTGTTTTCTAATTGCTAGTACTGTCAGCTAATCACATTTTATTCTTCTTCATCAGAAATTAAGTGAACATTTTGTAGATGTAATTCTTTGATAGCTGCACTTTCTCTGCAGGATAAACAGTAGTTACAACTTAATTCAAAGAATGCAAAGGCATATAGACAACTCCCTACATCTTAAGTAGGAAAGGCCATTTAATATACTGTTGATATAGTAATATACTATAGTTACATCTAAGACTGTTCACTATGCCACAAACTCTCTCTCCTAAAATTCAGAAATTCCTGCTAGAATAATGAATGATTTGCTGATTGCACTTTGCAGCATGGAAGAATTTATCAGTTATATTCCTCATGGGGGTAGATAACTAGGAGCAACAAACATTGATGTTGTGAACTGATTTCAAATAGCAAAGTGAAGAAATAAGAAGTTTTCTTTCTTCAATAAAATAGGCTGCTCGCCTGGCAATGTATTAGTATCCATATAGTAAGGCATTCTTATGAGTTGCCAGTCTACTCACAGGAAGCAATTACTTTGAAGCAAGGAATAGAAAGGTAGAATCTTGTCTAAGCTACCTAAGGCCAAAAAAAACAGTCCTAAATAGGTTGCAAAAGTTTGATTTCAGCTGAGCTGAATGGGAACAGTGTGCAAATATTTCTTTATGAGCTCTTTCTGAAATGTGTGCAATTACATGTACATTCATAAATGAAGCCCCTTTCTTCATCCTAGGATCATCCTCAGTTTCCTGTCTTTTGGCCACTTTAGTCCACCACAGGATAGCATCAGCTCATCCTTTAAACTCTTTCACCCCTTTGTTATAGTTTAGAAAACTGAAACAAAAAGTAGTTTTATGTTGGTTTAGATCTACCAAAAGAAAATGGAAAGTACTAAACAAGATCAGAAGAGCAGAGGCTATAGTACATTTAATCTGCCCTTAGCAGATATAGCCTCAGCACAGGGGCAGGCAAAATACGGCCCATGGGCCGGATCCAGCCCACCAAGCACTTTCATCCAGCCCGTGGCGCTCATCAACAAATTGCACCCTGCCCCACTCTTCCACCCACAAGGGTGGGAGCAAGGCACCCACATGTACCCCCCCAATGTACCCTATAGTGCTTCGCTCCCACTCTTGTGGGTGGAAGGGCACAGCCCAACCAGCATCAGCTTCCAGGTGGGGCTGCTGCTGCTGCAGCCCCTAGAGACCTGCTCCGCTTCCCCAGTCTCCCACTTGCTCCAGGCAGCAGGTAGGGAAATGGCATGGGAGGGGCTGCAGCTGGTCAGGAGCACGAAGCATGGGGCTGGGGTTGTGGAGCCCACACCCAGGGGGGTGACGGCAGTGTGGAGCTCAGCTGAGCAGTATGTGGGTGTGAAGGTAGGTGGGGAGGTTGGGGGAACCCCTGCACACTCCCTGCATGGTGTGCAGCCCCAGCAGGCAGTGGCAGCAGCAGGTGGGGAGCTTAAGGTGGAGGCACCCAGTGGGACATGGCTCTGGCCAGCGCTGCACATCTCAGCAAGAGGCACAGCCTCCCCTGGGCCGTCTGTCTTGCCGGCGCTCCCTGCCACTCATGCACAGCCCCTGCACTTGCTGGGCATGGAAGGGAAGCCTCAGGCACTGGAGCAAGCTGCCTTCCCTGCCAGGGCTGCGTGGCAGGGGAGAGAAGCCTCTGGGCCCTTTCCCTCAGAGGCAGGAAAGGCAACCAGCTCCCACACCTGGGGCTTCCCTCCCATGCCTGGGGAGTGCCAGGGCTGAGCATGAGTGGCAGGGAGCACCAGTGATACAGATGGCCCAGGGGAGGCTGCACTCCTTGCTGCAATGTGCAGTGTTGGCAGGAGCTGCACCCCCCTGGGTGCTTGCACCCCGAGCACCCTGTCTGCTCCTGCTGTACCACGGGGAGAGTGTGGGGGGGCGGTCCCCACCCCCCACCCTCCGTCATACCCCACAAACCCACACTCTGCCCCCACAAAACCTCCCATATACCCAATCTCCCAAAATACCCTATGCCCCCCCACACACAGTGACGCCCCCTTACAACCCCCCCACACCCTACCATACACCCCCCACACCCTACCACATCCCCCACACCCCACCATACACACACACACGCACCATACCCCCCCCACAATATACAAGACTAAGAATTTATTTTGAGTTGTTATACAATCACCCCTATATACACAATGCAAACACAAATCATGACAAAAATATTTTTTGTAATAAAATTAAAATATGTTATAGTAGGTTTTTGACTTTTAGTGTATGATTTGGTTTCTTTCTGATTCTAAGATGGCAAACCCCCACGCAAAAAGGAGTATTTCCAGGGGGCAAGAGGAAGGACTTCAAGTGGCAAAGGTTGGGGTTAGGGGTGGGACTTCAGGTCCCAAGATGGTGACAAGTGGGCAGGGCAAAGGGCAGGGCAAAGGGCAGGGCTACCCACGCAGCCCTCGACAGCTCACCAAAAATCGTTAAGCAGACCTCCACCTGAAATAATTGCCCACCCCTGCCTTAGCATAATCCAGTCTCTACTAGGCAGGGTCTCAGGCAGGGTCTCAATATTCTATAAATACGGAGCCTGATTCTGATCTCACATCAGTCTCAAGGTATCAAGAAAGCTGCATCAACATAAAACTTGTGGGAAAGGAAAAGGCCCATGATTAACTCTTTTGTGCTGATTCTTAGTCTGGTGTTAGGGTAAAGTAATAAATTTCACTTAGACCTTACTGAATCTGTGAAATGTTAAGTGGTGTTTAAATATGAATGTTATATGTGTAGTTGCATTCTGGGCTTAATACCTTTTCTTGCCTGGGCAGCTCTGAATTGCCACTAGAAGGTTGGGCAAGCTGTGTGGGGTGGCTACAAGCCAGGACACCTGGGCTCTACCTCTGCTCTTGGGGGCAGGGGGGCGGGGGAGGGCTGGGAGACGTGCATCCTGGGATGTTGAAGGACCAGGAAATTGCTGGTTTTATCTCCATGGAGCAGACTGAAATTACCCCAACACAGCCCAAAGTTAACCCTTGCCTTAAGTGGTATAACTTTGAGACACTCAGGGGGCATTTAGCATGAGTTAATGAAATTAATTTGCAGACGCTTGTGTTTTAAATGCCCTTAGTATGGTCTAAGTGTAACATGTAACTTCACCCTTATTCATTCTTTGCTACTGCTTGACATACTTGTGTTCATATTTGGGCATATGGACATAAGAGACTTCCAAAGGGAGAAAAATCCAGTACCAAAACACTTTAAGTCTAGCTTCTTCACAGTTAGCACATATACACATTCATAGAATATAAAGCAGTTAGATACATTTCCTTGGGTTTTCATCCAATTCAAAGTTTCAAATGAGTTTTCATACAATTCAAAGTTTGAACTGCACTCCCGTCCATGAAGATGACCAGTCTATTTCTCCCTTATGCAACAGTGAAATGTCTCTTATAACACTTCTTCAAAGCAGCATTACATTTGGAATAGCCATTCTTTGATAACTGACCCACACTGGCAGAAAATTCTTCTGTTTTTCATTTGTCCATTTTCCATTGCTAGGTCCCCACAGCAAACGCTAAAGCACAGCTTAGAACAGGGATAGGCAATCACTTCTCCAGGTAAAGTTTAGAGCAGAAATCTTCAGTTATCATAGATTAAAGAACCTCTATTAGTTTTTATAACAATTAGGTAAGTGATCAAGACAACAAAGAATAAAATATTCAAAGAAGTGTAGAGCCTCCATATATGAATGCTGTTAATAATTAACTGCATTGGCACAGGTACCATATTTATGATATTAATGAACTATTCCCACAGTGTTCATTCTCATTGATTATAGTGGGTGATGGACTGTGTAACTGTAATGGTTAGTAAGGTTTAATTTAGAGCCCTCTTCTGTTTCTGACACAGGGGAAAGAACAAATCTTTAGGAACCACAGAATGGTAGGTATTTGATATCAGTGGATACATGAATTGTCAAAGCCTAGGTTTCTACTTATAACCTTCTTTAAAATGAGAATACTTTCTCTAGTATTTGTGTACAACTGAATGAGTGAAATTAATCTCTGTGACAATAGTCAGCACAAAGCCTGTCCACCACGAAGTCCATACTGAATCCTTATCTTGAAATCATAAGCAGGATTTCAATGATAGATAGGCTTCAAGCTGGCCCTCTGCATACAGTCAGTCTGATAATTGCAAAGCACTTGCATCTCCCACTGACATCCAAGCGTGTTGCAAGAGCATCTTACAGGTTCTAGCTCAGGGGTCGGCAACATTTTGGGGCAGAGTCCCAAAAACACCTGCAAACTTGATTTGTAAAATGTTGGCATGTTAAGGGGAGATGGCAGAGGAGCCACAATGGGCCCAATCCTTGTTCTGGCAGCATAGCCCCATCCCCTTTCTCAAGGCACATCTGCACACGCCGCCAGCAACGAGCTGGACCAGGGCTCTGTGTACCCTGGTGGAACCGCTTACAGCCTCCCAGCTGCTTGCCACAGCTGTCTTGGGCTTTGGCCAGGCCCCTGCTGTGCACTGTGAAACCCGGGCTGCTTACAGCAGGTAGCAGGAAAGCTGCAAGCAGCTGCACCAGGGTCTGCAGAGCCCCAACCTGGCTCGTTGCCAGCAGCGGGTGCATGCACACCTCGAAGTGGACAGCAGGGAAGGGGCCAGAGTTGCACTGCCA